GGGATCCATACAGGTTTACTTGGTTTTCTTCTTCACTATTCCCAGATATGATAGCAGTAGGTTGTGAGCTCAATGGGGTGCACTATGTCAATGGCCATGACTTCCAGCCCACTCCTCTTTACAAATGTCTATGTTTGAACGGTGCAATTGGATGTACACCTGTCTTCATCTCAAAGCCAGCACCTAGTGAATGTGCAGCACCGAAGAGCAGAAAGAAATCTGGACAATCCAAATGTGTTTCAGGACAGCAGGAGCAGCAGTCAACCAGTTACAGATTAATGTCAGGTAGGCAAGGCTAGACTGATATCTTCTTCATGATAGATTTATTTTTTTAAAGAGGTGTTTCCTTATTATTTGAGGCAGATAAAGTTATTTGCATTTCTCTTTTTTAAATAGGTAACAGAAACTTCTGGTACTTGTAGGGCAGCTTTATAATTGATTTATAATTGTTAGATTGGGGTAGAGTAGGTGCTTGTCTCTTCTTGTAGGTCACTGTTAGGTTCCGGGACAGGATTGGGAAACCTTCTTTGTGTCAAGAACCTCAGAGGTAATCTTTTGGGGGCTCTGTGCCAGAGCCACAACTTTAGCTCTGCCACTCCTTTTTCTCTCTTTATGCCCCTTTCTCTCTCTCCCCTCTCCACCCCACAAGCTGCCAGAAAGAATGGGAACAGCTTGCTTTGGGAGGACTGTCCCCCCCACCTCCTTCCATGACTCCATTTGTTTGACTCCATTCTTCCCTCTTATCACCCCAACCACATGAAGTTACACCGAGGGCCACATGCAGGACCCAGAATGCATTTTCCCCACTCCTGCGATAAGGATGGGATTTCTCCCTTTGTTTTAAATGCTTATAGGCCTTCCAGATTTTTCAGCTACATTATCAATATAGTCAGAAGTACACCAGCCAACCTAGGGGTCTGAAACAAAATGACTTGTGTAACATAGAAAAGCTTTTCAGAAGATAGCAACACTCATTGGACGTAGAACATGCCCTGTAATGTTGCTTGCAAGATATTAGGGCAAGACTAGGCAGCAACAAGAGAAAAGTTGAAAAAGGCAGATTAGACAAAACAAACAGTTGCAATCTTACTTCTGTGAAAATGCTGAGAACCTCCAAAACAATCCAAGCAGCTTATGATTTATACACTATTAATGCATGGTTTGCATGCTCTCACAATTAATTTTGAAAACTAAGGGTTTTTTCCTTCCGTATCTTGCCGAACAAGCTTAATTTTAATATTTTACTATCTTTCCTTCTTTCTGCATGCACTGCCCTAGTTAACAAATCCCTGTTGTAAAAGCAATGAAATTATTTTATGTACAACACACACACACATATATAAACCCACAGCTTTGTAACCTTGCTTTATTTATTTCAGATCTGTGCCAGGCTTTTAAATTTGCTTCCTGCGCTGTGATTTTTAAGCTGCTGCTGCTTACTTCCCAGGTACCCTCATATATCTGCTCTGTCCTCTTAAACTGTGCACATTTCAAATCTGGTCAGTCATCCTGTAGAACTCCCATCAGGATTTGCTATGTGGAGATTGTAAAAAGCAGGTTTAAGATCTATAGCTATTACTGCTCCAACTCTTTGGAATGTGGGGATAAAAGCCCTCAACCCCGATCCTCTTAAAGAAAACTAATTTGATACAGAACTTCCAGCATATGTATGTGGATAAAGCCTGGCCTAGGCGCCCCATATCCACTTTAACACAGGTATTTCACATAGCCAGTCTATTTTGTAAGAACTCTTTCAGGAAAATGTCTTGCTTTCTAGGGCAGACTTGAGAGTCATAGCATTAAGAAACAAACAAGCAGCATTACCAAGATATAAAATCAAATCTTTGGAGACTGAGGTGCTAAATTCCTCTAAAAGTTAATTGAACTTGTGGCAGCTATTTCTTAAAATCTAAACCCAATTTCCGTAATTTAAGCAAGTAAAATCCAAAAGGTGATCCTGGTAACCTGGCATGCTTAATTCTCATGTTCCATGCTATTTTTGGGTTGCCTTAGTAGAACTGATCTGAATTAAATGGCTTAAAAATATTTGGCTCAAGATGTAATATAATGCTGTCTTCTAGCTTTCAGAAGTGTGCCGCTTGTTTTAAAGAAGAAGTGCCTGGTTCAAGCAACTCCTTGGACACCTTGTTCCCGAACGTGTGGCATGGGAATATCTGACAGAGTGACCAATGAAAACAGTAAATGTGAAATAAGGAAGGAAAAGAGACTGTGCTACATTCAACCATGCCAAGCAAAATTTCCAAAGAGCATAAAGGTAAACCACATTTCAGAACACAATTTCCTCATTAGGCTGAAAGTATTAACTGCTAGATGTATGATTTTTTAAATAACCATGGGGCTGGTGGAGAGAGAAGTTCTGGTCTGTTCAGTTGTGGATTTGAAAATTAGGGAGACAGGAATAACAGATCATCTCATGGAAACTTATGGAATGTTTTCTACATTGCTCATATGGCACATAACTACCAATAGAGAATTATTGGGCCCTTCTTTGCACTACTGGTGTTCAAAGGAGATTCTTTCAGGTCCCATCTACTCTATTCATTTAAAGCAGAATTATACCACTTAAAATATTAATTGCTTTCCTCCAATGAATCCTGGGAACTGTAGTATATTCAGAGTACTGGGAGTGGTTAATAGACTCCCTATTCCCCATAGTGCTACAATTCCAAGAGTGATTTAACAGTCAATCTCGTCCCAGCAAACACTGCAAATTTCAGCTACTTGAGGGGGACTAGGAACTCTTAGAACCCTGAACAAACTACAGAACCCAGGTTTTCTTTGGGGGAAAGCAATGGCTATTTAAAGTGGAATCATGCTGATTTAAATATATACTGTAGTGCAGTGTACAATCCATGTCTACTAGCACTGGTGCTTGCTGACTGCATCCCCCAGTTGTCACATGTTTATATTAGCTCAAATCAGGTGTCCAGAAAGTCAGGTGGTAAAGTGCTGGGATGAATCTCACAAGTCACTGATTAAATTTCCCACTCATATAGTGTCACAGTGGTCTTGAAGGTGGCAGGATAGTGAACCTGCAGGAGTTAACTGTGTAGAACTAAGTTATCAGCACTGCACAAAAATCAAGCAATGCTAAACTTATATTTTAAATTTGCATGCACTGTAAGTGGCTAAAAACATGGCCTCAACACTGCTACTTCAATATGCATGTAATAAACTTCACTTTGAACATAATAGCAAGATTTTACTTTTATTTATATTTCAAGATACCTAAAGGAAAAACATGCCGACCTACATTCCAGCTTGCCAAGGCAGAGAAACTAGTATTTTCTGGATGCACAAGTACACAAAGATATAGACCAACCTTTTGTGGAATCTGCCTGGACAAGAGATGTTGCATACCCAACAAATCTGTAATGATTACAGTGCAGTTTGACTGTCCAAATGAAGGCTCCTTTAAGTGGAAGTTGATGTGGATTACATCTTGTGTTTGTCAGAAGATATGCAATGATCCAGGAAACATATTTTCTGAACTCAAACTCTTGTAAGTGGCAACACAGGAAAGAAAATGGTCAAATGTTCCCATGAAAAGTTGCTCATGCAACACCACTGACAGGTAGCTGTGTTTGAAATTTTAGGTTTTAAATGAATCCACACAGCAATCCTTTCATCCAAGACAGAGCTTGCCCTAATGTGTTTTATTTGGAAAAGCAGAATGTGTGGCTATTTAAATCCAGTTAAATACTGTAGCAATAAAGCATTTTCTTAAATATTTTAAAATGCAAGACTTAGTTTATGTGGAAGGGGTATACCAATCCCACAGAAAAATGGCAGGTTTTCATGCATAAAAATTCAATCAAATTAGTTACCTATACACAACTGATTCATATGGATGTTTGCCCAAAGATGCATGTACACAAGCCCCTCCCCAACATCCAAGTGCTCAATCCCTGATCATCTCCACAGTGAACAGGTCTGCAAGGGACCTCATAGAGCCTGCATGAGATGTTCAGCTGAACATGAGTGAAAGCTCCCTGAAGATCTTCCCTGTTCAATGCAGGTATGATTAGGGATTGAATCAGTGTGCAATGCATGGACATTGTGTGCACACCCCTTTACTTTTCTCTAAATTTGTGCATAAGCAATATTTCAAAGCTGTAAAGTGAACAGTATCAGACTGCGTGCAAAAGTAAGAATTCAAAACCCATTAAATCATTTATCCAAATAGTTTGCATGCATGTGCATAGTGTTAACATGTGATTAAGAAGAACTCAATGGAGTTTACATTTGAATAGAAACATATAGAATTGTACTGCACCTGTGTGCAAATGGGGTGGGGTGCAATTTGTCACCCAAAACCAGCTAGTGATGGGTACATAAACTTCAACACATGCATCTCCTCAGATAGATCAGGGTGACTGAGGGAGTCAACACAAAACAAGGATTTGGGCATTTATTTATGAGATCTACAAAGCATGATTGTATGTATCAAATTGCATATTTCTTGATGATCGATAGCATAGTGAAACACCTTTATGTTTACTGGAACCAAATCGTAGTTTTCTAGACAGGCAATTTTATATGGAACAGTCTTTGATATTGATCTCCCAGGTTAGTATTTTCCTTTTCTCTTCAACAAAAACAAAACAAAGCAGCCAAGCAATTTAGCAGCATTTCTGTATGCCTCTTAAAAATATTGTATCAGAGCCTGCAAATCAGTAAGAATGTAAATGCTCAACTTGTGAACTGGAGGATAGAACCTTCTTGTATGCCGTTTCACGGATAACTGCGTTATTTAAAGTTACCGTGCTTGCAAGGAATATCTCTGTAACATAATTTTCTCTACAACATAAGGTATGTACTGAGTCTACAGTAGTAGATATATCAGGTCTTGTATTGCTGTTTAGAGCTAGTAATGTTATGTTGTTAAAACTGCAGTTGGTGCTCTAGACTAGTTGATAACCAGATGTATAACAGTTTGGGGCATGTAGTAGACAAGGATTCACAAGGACGAGGCCAAATTTTATGAAATTATACATTTTATTATGTAAATATCTTGTAAATAAAATTCATTTATGACAAAATCCGATATGGTCAAATTATATTAAAATTGTTTGTTTTCATAATCTACATATAAAAGTATCTTCAAAATAGTGCTTAAGTTAAAATTACATCAAGAGAGGTAGACCATAAGAAAGTATTATAATTCCTTCTGCTTTTTTGAGATACGTAAACCAGCATCTGTGCAATATGACAAGTATGTGAAACTGTCACTTAAACTGAACACTTCTACTATCTTTTGACAATGAAATTTACTAACCTCAGCCAAAGTAAGTTCGTCCCAGGTTATTTTTAACTGGATTGCATGAGTATAATTTGGTGATCTAAACTTTAACACACACACGCCGCCCCTGTAACACGTGCTACATTGCTATCTTCAGTCTTGGTGGATCTATAGCAGGCCCACAGTTAGCAGCATCTAGCTGATTATAATCTTCTATTAAATCAGACAAAGATGAAAGCGCTTCAGGGAAACAGGACTGCTCCATCCCATCAATATGTAGGTAATGGTGAAGGTGAGCCTGCAAGAGTAGATGTTACATTAGTCACATGCTTTACAGGAACATTGAACAAATGAATTCAAGTCTTCTTCCAATTCCACGTGCAAAACTGGTTATAACTTTAATGTAAGGATCTGTTGTGATAATTTTTGGATTAAGGGTTAACAACAACAATAACAAGAATATCACGCACAATCTATCCACCATGTGTGTACTGTAGTTGGGTATGTGAGGGATTTGGCACAGGGCAGAACAGAGACTTCCTACTTTCGCTCTTTTCCTCCAGTTCATGTCCATGTGCATTTGCTCCACAGTCACCCAACCATTTCTTTAACTCCAAACTGTATTATAACCCCTTCTAAGTCCAAGTGAAGCATGTGGGGAGGCTACCATTAGTGTAGCATATTTCCATATACCACTTGTAATATAAGTACAATTGAACTACTTACAATGACAATATTACGTCTCATTAAGTGACATACCTTTTTCTTGTACAACCTTGTAAATCTCTCCTTGAGCTCTACAAAAGTAGATTTCACACAAGTGTTATTTGCTAGTGCCAACAATGAGTGCGAATGACCCACAGGTGGTACTGAACAGAGGCCAGTTTTCCATCCTTCTTGATTCCAGGAGACAAACTGAAGTGAAGTTTTCAACCTGCAATATGAAATTATGAGACTGACATGAAGGCAAGCAGTAAAATAAACTACACAAAACATGAACCCTAAATGCACATTCGACTCTACCCCCCCCCCAAGTGGCACTTTCATGTGCTTTCAGCTGCAGCTGTGCAACCGATCTGGCTGAATCCTAAACACAATTGGACCAATTTCTACCAAATCCAGATTGGCTAAAGGCAGCTACAAACCACTACAGAGTGGGTTGGGTTGATCTGAATCAATTTCAACTAAAAACAGCTTCTAAGAGCCAGTTTTGCAATTAAATACAGGTAAGCTCCCATTTACGCGGGGGCTACATTCCGAGGCACCGCGTGCATCATTGAATTAGCATGTATTTGAAACCACTGAAAAAGCCTGCAAACAACCTGTTCTGCCCATGCCCTGCCCCTTTTTGTGATGTTTTTGGATCACAATGTACATGTGCAGTTGCGCACATATTGAAAGTGCGTAAATGGGGTGTGCGCGCCTGTACAGAAGAATGCTGGGTGTGAGGGAGCTAGACTTTGCTCATTAAGACCTCCAGCTTCCAATCCAGGATTAGAATCTCATCCAATGTATTTTGTTGTCTGTCTTTACAAACAGGCTGTCGTGGGTTTGTGTCAGTAGGTCTTGTGAGACAAATGTATCATAGCAAAAGCTTTGAGCAGTCACCCTGCCCTGCTACTTCACAGAAACCAGTGCCAGACCGACAGTGAGCTGAATTGCTATACTGAAATGCAGCTGAACAGGCCAAAGAGCATGAGAATTGGCAGGACTGAGCACTCAACTGACTGTACAGTCTTCCATACACAAACACGAACATCTCTCTATGTGTGTGTGTTTAGAAAAAGCAAATTTTAAAAGGTTGCTAGCACAAAATCCCCCTCATCTACCTGTCCAATGTGTAGCAAGGAGGGGCTGCTATGCCTCCAAATTTCATGCAACTATGTGACAAAAAACAAAATGCTGTGGTTGTTTGGTTTTCCAATACATGAATTGGAGTGCCAAATATTTGAATTTCCAGATCCAGTCAAAATGGGTCAGACTTCAGACTGATTTCTGCCAGATCAGGGCAAGTTGGATTACCATATCCAGCCCCAAGTTAATTAAATGTTCAGTTAAATAGTATGTGATAGTGTTAATACCTATTTTCAGGCAAATATGCTACCTTAGCATTTAAAAGCATATATTTGAAAAATTATATACATATGTACATAAATATATGTGACTAATTTTTCAGTCTCTGTAGGTTATTGAGAATATGGTCTTTCCCCTCTCCCTCTGGATGCAGCTGTGCCTGCAGGAGTGGATCAACATAACCTTAATAAGCTTACTGGAATTTGATCCTACAAACGAACACCAACTGGGAAGATTTGCTGTATGAGCGTTAGCAGTTTCTCTTCTAATGTATGACGTGTGCAAACCTTTCAATGTTTCTACGAAGGTCTGAAATCTGCACATTTCCTCTGACTAACAGGGCACAGGCAAGGTACAAACTGTGCTTTGGGTCAGCTCGTAACAGTTGGTGATCTTTGCTAAAAGCATCTGAAAACATTTGGTCCAACCTAAGAGAAAAAAGAGTATCTGAGAATATGTAGCTGAGAAAACTTAGCAAATGTTAACACAATCATAATTTGTCAGCAGAGTAATTCTAAATATGCATCAAATAAAAATAGAACACTATTTCAATTGAAAAGTATGTTGAAGATTTAAAAATAACAAGAGTACAAGATTCCCATTACTTTATCATGTGTTACTAAACACATCCCATTTTATCTTCATGTAGTGAGCAACTATCATTCACGTGTCAAACAAGGTTACCCACCTTCGAGAGGGCACATTAACATCAGCCAACGTATACAGAGGTGTCAAGCTGGAAACAAGATAATGAAGTCGAGGAAAGGGAACCAAATTCATGCTGATTTCATTAAGATCCATATTAAGAGATCCTTCAAACCTAGCAGAGCTGTATACAGATAATGCAAGAGTTATAGAAAAAAAGTTTGGACACATATATTGCAGCATACAAAATCACGCTTTTGAATATTTGTAAGCTTACACTGTAAAATGTGTTGCAATCATTTCATTGTAAAATTTTCACTAATTTTCCAGCCTCAGGTAGGGGAAAGTCCCTTAGCAATATAGAAAGAAACAACACCCTAGGGGCTACAAGAGTATTGCTTGCTGTGTTCAGCTGCTGCTACAAGCGCTTTTCCTCTTTGTACTTGTGAAGCAGGGCTATTCATCTCTGCTGTGCTTCCCTCCCACATCATACCGTAACAGTTGCACTACAAGCTTCTATTCAATTATGGGATGGAAAAGGAACATCTCTTAGTATGCTACAATAATGGATGCAGGTAGACTAGACGTGAGAGAAGCTGGGTCTGCCAAACAGAAGAAATTAAAGGGGAGCATAGACATTTTACTACACAAGCTAAAGGTGACATCCATTGATTTCAGTTTTAGCAACCACTTCTTATCTAATTAAAATTTTCAGAAGCTCACCTTGTCAAGTTCAACAGTAAGTTGGCCACAATATTGTTCATAGCATCAAATGGTTTCTCCCGAGAACACTTTATTCCACCTGCACTTGAAGTTACTAAGCTGGCTGGTTTTATGGTTGATCCTAACTTTCCACAGTTGGTCATCTGATTAATTTTGCTAACAATGTCAAATAAAGACTGGAAAAAGCATAGGTGAAAAAGCTGGTAAATTTTTTTGAACGCAAAGCTATCCAACTTACAACAGACTCCTAGGCATGACTACTCAGAAAGTCTGCTGGATTCAACAGAGCTTACTTCAAGGTAAGGGAAAGCTTTAATATTTTACTCAGTTGTTTCAGGTAAATTTTAAAATGAAGAATAAACAAAGAATAACTACATTGCACTTAAAACTGTAATCTAGAAAGGTTTTAATACATTAATACGGTATTATAAATTCTTACTTCATTTTCAATTGGCAATACACAGTCTGCATGGTCACTGAGTTCTTTCATAGCCAATACACTGTTATAAGGAGATGTAATGACATCATCCTCCCGTGAAGGATAAACAGAAGTAACAAATCTATATACTTCTGGAAATTCATCCTCAAGAAGCTTTAGTACAAATGTACCAAGACCAGATCCTGTCCCTAGAAGCAAGAATTCAAATAGTTAGAACGACAAGAGTACATGAAAAAGTCTTGTGTGGTATTCAACTTCCTTTGGATTTTCTTACAAGTGAGAAAGGTTTTTATTTTTATTTTAAAGTTCACCAATTGAAATTTCAGATTTGGAAATGCAAAGATTGTCTTCTACTGGAAAAATTATGAGCGCTTAAGGTAGCAATTCACCAATATCATTTCTTTTGATAATGAGATTGCAGTATGGACTGCAATCTCAAATGGTATCCAACATTTGGATTTAAAGAGACAACCCAGATTTGAAGGCAGTATTTCCTTGAGACTTTCTAATCACGACTAGCTGATTATTTTAAGCAAAAACATTCAACATCATGAGAACTATCCAATTTACAGTATTTTACAGAGCAAATACATTTATGTTGTGTTCTGTGCTTGTGATAGAAATATACTTATTGCAGAAATACATTTTTTTTGTCAGATTACAATGAAAACATTATATTGCTCATTTAGAAACTGCCAATGTATTCTGTACATTACAATGTTGTCCTCAAAAGAATCTTCTAGCATAGGGTACTATTATTCACAGATCATAGATTTCAATGATGATCACTTGCCTAAGGTCACCTACGAGTTTATGACCCAAGTAAGATTTGCAACTGGGAGTCTGGCTACACAAGAACCATGCTCTTCTCATGTAAATTACAAAGATGCTGACAAAAGAGTTTTGGTGCATAACACGTCAATATGCAGCAGAGCTTTTAAGATGCATTATATAAATATTTTCTGATAAGGAGGTCCACAATTCAATCACCAGATTTCTATTGGTTATAGCTTTGATTCAGGAAAGGTCTACTTGTCTGCCCCAAGCTCACTGCACAACACAGCAAACACAAGAGATCAAAAGGAATTCTTGTTTGTGCTGGGTTGGAGACAGACAAATTCTCCTCCAAGTACTAGTATGCCCAGAGGATAGGGGAGAGGCGAGGGTCCCATTTTTGATCATGTGCTGGGTTTGGAGCACTAGAGGCGGTCCTTAAGGTCATGAACTCTTAAGCTTTTGTTTCACCTTTTATCATACTTACCCCCTCCCATGGAATGAATGACAAAAAAGCACTGCAGACAGTCACAATGCTCTGCAGTCTTTCTTAGCTTTTCAACAATATCTTCTCGGTATTGACACCCATACACTTTGTGACCCACAGCCCTGTAAATAGGAAACATTTAATATGCTACCCTTCTAGTTCAACTCTGACAATTCTAGTTTATTTAAAATGTTTTAAATTCTTCAAGTATTTTTATGCCTATACAGAGTTCTCCCCACTGAGTTTTTTAGACTTAACAGAGCGACAATGTAGAAAGGTTTACAACTTAAAAATTAAATGAAATGAAACTTAGGAGAATTTGAAGGCAGCTTTAATTACGCTGGAAATAGCAGGCTGAGCCCCATTAAAGGCAACCAGGGGAAAGGCCTTCTGGCATGTACAGGGCTGACTCAGCAGCTGTGTGTCCATGGACACTCTTTGCCTCCCTAAACAAAAAGATAATGGATTCATGTTAAAAGAGCCGGGGGACAGGACGGGACAGGGGGAGATCAGTGAAACAGCATGAAACAAAATAATATATTACCAAAAGCTTTTTACCAAAAACAAAAAGATCAAGAAAATAAAGGTATAACCAAGCCGTACAGTGTTCAGTGTGACCAGGATAGAATTCTAAAGAACTGCCTTGTCCTTTTTCTCTTGGCCTTCTGCCGCCTGGTTAAGACATTTTTATTCTAAGTGGAATTTGACCTGTCAAGCTGAGGTTTAGTGGACTGATCCTTTGTCTTAACTTGTTTTTAATCTGATGTATATCTTTTGTAGTATTTTTACTATTAGATGTATTATTATAGAATTAATTTATCTGTTCACACTTTTTCCCCTAATGACTGAAGTACTTATTAGAAGTTTTTAGTACTTCTTGTGATCATCAAGTTTGATCTTCTGTTCAGAATCTCCCCTTTCATTATATAATCATTCAAAAGCATTTTTTATAAAGTTTAGATTTCTTTGACTTAAATTTCCATCTGTTTCCCTTCTTCTCTTTAGTCAGCTGTTCATATCTGTAATTAGATTACCATTTGACCTGAATGAACAACACTAGGAGTAGAAGAATACCAACACAGTAATATGATACATCTGTTCATGGAAATTCACAAAATTGGTTTTTTAAAAAGAGTAGCTATGTAGATATGACATACTGGCAGAATAGCTGTTAGTTGTGTTTTCAAGTTTTCCTAAAGGTAACAATAAAATAAAATATTAACATGGCCATTTATTCAAGAGACTGCAGGAAGTAAAAAGACAGAAATGTAGGAGTTCTGCTTTCAATTTCCATCTAATCTGTGTAAGAAATTTTTGTATGAAGATTTGAATGGGGAAAAAATCTATCCTCACCAGTTGTTCCCTGAGCCAGAAACATCTGTTATCAGCTGCTTGCTATCAAAGACATCTCTCAATGGCCCCTGCAGAATTTCATTCACTACACCCTCTTCCATGTCAATCAGGAGAGCCTTAGGGAACAGAACAAAAAGAATTTGGACTGAGAACGTCTGTCTTTAAAAACATTACGCAAAATAAATGAAAAAGATAAAGATAAAAAATGCTTTCTTTACTTTAATTTCAGCACACCCTTGGAATAAGAAAGCAGACTTCAGAAGAATATCTCTAATTTATTTGCCTCAGGATGAAATTTAATAAAGGATCATTTTGGCAACCCTGATTTAGGGCAACTCAAGAATTAAAATGCACATATGCAACACATAAGGAAACATGCTCTTGCTAAAAAAATAAACAAATTAGAATGACTTCTATTATGTCTCAGCTAATTTCCTTTTCAGAATGGTACATAACTTTTAATCTTTTCTTATTGTTTATTTCAATCTTTTCTCCCCTGTATCAAATGCTCTTGGGGCATATTCCACAAAACAGGTAGCAGAAGAAAACATCTTAAAATCACAACCAACAATAAACTTAACTACTAGATAGACCCTACTATAATTAGCACAGCCAAAATGGCAACTTAAATACCCATGTTTTAACTTGATGCTAAGCGGCAAGGGGATGACATTCTGTAACCTGAGCGCACTACAGCAGAAACTGATACACTATTGTGATATTGGGGTTCCGTTCCTGACTCCTGTGTGCATCCACAGAGCACGTAAGCCCGCCCTGCCCTTTTCAAAAGAACATGTGTCAATTGGACACGTGCAAAATGGTCACAACCGGTATTTTCAATTTAAACACATTGAAGCCAACAGTACTTTATCACTAGCTAAATGTACATAAAATAAAACGGCACTGCTAACGGTACTTTGATGTTTACCGTGTTTGGAGAAGCAGCAATTGTGCCATTAGCTATCTGATAAAGAGAAAATTATTAAATCTAGCTTACAAACTTGCTCATCTTCTGATGAGCTTTTACTTATTTTTCTAACCGGGCTCTTTAAGTGTGGAAATGACAGTTGGATTGAAGGGGGGAAACTGTGCATGCGCAGTTCAGAAGGTTTGTGTGTCTTATAGCTGGATCGGTGTCAGTCTCTAAGGAACCTGCAACATTCCTATATTCCTTGTGCTTGCAATTTGTTTCTTTTACTTGGTTTCTCGTTTGTTAAAATATACGTTTCTGGAAGCCATTATCTTTAGTTTACCATTTACAATTGAACTATAGGATTTGTTTTAAAACAAATAGCAAAACATATACCCAAGTGCACATACATATAGATATAATAAAACCTAAAATTTCAGATATTTCAGAGGCATACAAAATATAAGAATTGACAGAATCAAAGATGTTTCCCCCTTACGCGTGCTTTTAAGGAATAGATTTTTCCTCTGCAGCCAGCACTATCATCATCTGTCCTAGAAAAAAACAGAAGCAAAATTAATAAAAATCATGAAAGAGGACTACACCTAGCTATCAGAGTATTACAATTTTCCCCTTTCACTGAAATTAAATTAAACTGAAAAGCAGAATAACAAGAACTAATATAAAGACTGTACACTTTATGAATTTCATTGCTCTTGCTCATTTTATAGAAGCCTGCCATGCAGAAGTCAATTAGGCTTTTCCTAGCATAGGGATGGAAAAAACATCATCTGCTTAATTTCTGCAGTTGTGTAGACAAAGGAGAACTATTAAATAAAACCTGGCATGCCTCCCAATTGTAAGCAGTTATATATTTTATATCTTTGTTAGAGCAAACTGCAAAAAACTAGGGGTTAACAGTTTCATGAAGGCAAAAAGCAGATTCAGGTTAAGTATAAAGCACTTTTCCTATAGTGAAACATGACAAGCAAAGGTATTAAAGGGCACATTAGTAACTCAAACTGGAGACTGAAGGGCTCAGGATGCGAGGACAACACTGACCACAATCTTATTGAGGCAAGTTGATACTGCAAAATGTGAATTACTCCAAAACAATGAACACCAAGCACCAAAGCCCATTCAGTACAGGTCAGACACAAGTAACTGATTGTAATGTATGCTGACATGATTGGACACAAGATCCTACCCACTGATACCCACGGTATCTACAAAACCCAATGGAAGGAGAGAAATAAAAATACTAAGTGGGGCATAAACTGAACAAGAAATCCACAAAGTAAATGCTGGATCACTGCAATTTTATTTTTGTGACGCAGCACAAGATGCTGACTTGCCGGCAGTAGTGCAAGGTATGATGAAGCAACATTTCTCTATGGATCCAAATATTGGGTTATTTATTTTAAGGGCATCTTTAATAATTTAAGATTGTTCATAAAAAGAAAACTTACCTGGTATTCACATTTCTAAAGAAACTGCTTAATGCTTCATCGTAAATTCCTTTCTAAAAAAGAATCATTAAGTAAGCAAATCTTAAAGTGTGACACTTGTGCTAAAACTTAAAGTATGCATTCTTAAAACTATTTAACTCTTCTGAGATTATACATGCTCCTAATATAAAGCCTCATGTATGCCACTAAAGTGCAAGTAGCGCTCAAAAACATGGAATCCACAAATTATTTCATATCTATAGTGGAAGAGTATGACTCTATATAGAGAGAGCATCCTAAAGAAAAGGAAAGTTGCATCACAGTAAAGCAATAATTTTGGATTTTCTTCAGGATGAATTATTGCTTTAATGCACATCTGGTTCTCAATATTTCTTAGTAAAATTTGGAGTGAGGTTGTCCAGCCTGCCATGGCAACCCCTCAGGCATCTGGTTGGCCCCTGTGAAAACAGGACTCTGGATAAGGTGGGCCACTGGTCTGATCCAGTAAGCTCTTATACTCTGCAAGCAGAGCAAGTGGCTGGGATCAACTCACCCTAGACTCTTCTCCTCTGCAAGAAAATGACAGCTTTTTCATCAGTAGTCTGGTGACCCATTTGAATGATCACGCTTGCCCTTCTTAGCCATTAACAGCCGACAAAGAGTTGGCTAGTGGGGTCCAGGAAGTGGCTGATGTCTCCTTGTTACAGTGGCCTTGAAATGGTGGCTATGCATCTCTAGAGTCTTTTGGATGAAACTGATCTTAAACACCCATTTCAATCGGGTTTCAGGCCCCGTTTCGTAATGGAAAATTGCCTTGGTCATCCTGATGGATGATCAGTTCTTGGAGAGAGAGAGAACATGCCCCTATTGATTCTCTGGACCTATTGATGGCTCCTGTTTAATGTTCCAACTAGTTAGCCATCCCTTCTTCTAGGATACTACACTCCACTAAGCATGCTCAGTCCTCACTGGGCCTTTTGTTGTTGTTCCCTTCAGCTTTTTAATAAAGTGATCTCTGTCCTTCTGCAAACCTTGAGGTTCTCTTGTGCATATCCCTGTTCTATATTAATGGTGCCACTCTGGCCACACAAGCGTTAAAAGAATGGTGCTCCTGTGTGGAGATCTTGTGCTCCACATTCCAGCCATTCCCTTTGCCCTTCCAATGCCCATTAATCTTCCCACGTTTTCCCCAACAGCATTCCCTGGCCACCGGCTATATTTAGTCCCTCGCCTAAAGCAGGCGAAGGAAGACACGGGAATGCCAGAACAAAGGAAACGGCAGCTATTTCTAAAAATGACTTGAGTTAAGAATAGGATTTGCTCTTTTAAACAAGCAGCCATTTTAACTCGTCCACTGCGGAGCTCAGGGACAAGTATTAGCTGAGTGCGTTAAAAATCGCGCCAGCGCACGCGCCAAGACCACGCCCACAAATTCCAAAGCGCGGCGGTTTAACGGACACACCTTTCAGCGGCTCCCTCAGAGGGAGCAGTCAAGCAGGCATGCGCGTAAAACGTTCCGAACCGTTTGCATTTTACTGAGCATGCGCGAGCTGACGGGCGTTTTATTTCTCCTCCCAGTCGTCAGGCGGGGCTTGTTACCTTGTTGACGGCGGCGTGTTCCCGCAGTGCCAGATCCCAGAAGCGGCATCCTATCTGGTTGCCACACTGACCCACTGTGAGGTGAAAAAACAAACAGAGGTCAAGCTGCCGAACAGAGCAGAGTGGTGTGAAAAGGGGCCAGAGAGGGAGAAGGGAGCAGGGGGCGGGAGAGAGCACGCGCGCTCACCCTGAACCACCACGGACTGCGTCATGTCTTCCGTTGGCGCGGATCTGGTTTCTAAGGCCGGCGAGAAGTGTAGCCCCGCCCACTACGGGCGTGAGTGTGAGGAAAGTTCCCCGCGTTGTGTCGCAGAGAGGAGTTCTGGCCGCACGTTCCGCTGTCGAGACGCGCCGCGAACGCTCGTGGAGCGTTTTGTTCTTGCTTTGCGCGCATGCGCCGCGCCGCAAACGGTGCTTTCCTGCCATCCGGTCCCCTCGCTAATGACAGTTATCCGTTTGTAGACCGCGGGCCACGCCCACCTTGGCTCGCTTTGTTCCGACCTCACGGTCGTACTTGATGCAAAGGAGGGCGAGGCTCATGTCAGAGCGGGGATTTCGGCGCCTCGGTCCCGCTAGCCTCTGTCGCCCCCTGCAGGACAACTTATTTCCATGCGGCTGCTAAAAAGTCCGGGAGTCCCATCGCTCTCCCTTCTTATGTGGCCACCATCTGGAAATGACCGTCTGGAAGAGAGTAGAAAACGCGAAGGGAAAGGATCTTGCCGTTAAGCACGTCACGTATGAATACAAAAGAGTAACATTTTATTTTTTTAAAAAAAGTTGGAATCAAAACGCATTTTTTGATCCTGTGTATGCATTGCAAAATAATCTGTTTAAAATGCACGGTTCTGTTTGAACAGCGCATCCCTTCCATTTCATAATATTAAAACCAAATTACTAAACGCTGAAAAGGCAGACATTAGGTGACCCTCCTCCTACGCTCCCACCTGGACCATGCACTGTACAGTACTTGGTGGGCTCCTCGTTGGTATGTTGTAAAAGAGACAAGTTTGGGGACTAAATAGGGAACTGCAGCAAATTGCTTCATTGTTTAACCCAATCGTGCAAAGGCACACAAATTCTCAGTCACAAGGGTCTGGTAGGTTATCACACTCCTGTGACAGGAGTGCATTGTTCTATAAAGATCACAGTTTTGCACTGAGAAGTGAGCTGTAATAATACAGTCACAAGAACCTAGAGCGCTCTAATCAAGAAACATTTTAGTAAATAGTGTCTAAAATAGTCAATACAGTTTCATAATGCCTGTGAAAATAATAAAAGCTAGTCTTTTAATTCAAAATAGAATATGTAGTTTACAAAAGATTATGCTTCATGATTTTGTAGGTATATTACCTTCAAGTAATAGAACAGACAATCACCTGTTCCATTTTTTCTTTCTACTGTACTTGTTTTCAGACGTGCGGATAGGAAGTATATTGCTGACCTTCACCCTTAGCCCAGTGCAGAGGGTGAAATGAAGCAGAAGCAAAGCTTGATTGCATACACAAGTTGATTGGAAGAGACAGCCTTGACCTTTCATCGTATTCCCCATAATAATCCCCCCGAAGAAATGCATTCACTCTGTTCTACCTGTATACAGGCTCTGTATCTTGTACAGAAGCACGAGAACGGATGTTGCTGTGTTTTCCCCCATAACAGTCAAGTGTCTCAATTTCAAATAAAAGGGTGAAGCTTTTTTGCTCTGCATGACCTGTCCATCAGTTCAGACTAGAGATTGTTTTGGAGAAGATTCCATTAGGTGTACTCCTACCTAACCCTTGGGAAGCTCATTCTTAGTTCAGATTACCTGCTGGTGGACCAAACAGGATAAATATGTTGTACTAGGGAAGATGGTTGGTAAATGAATAAAGTAGGGCAAATGGTTGCACTGTCCTAAGGTACCAGTCATCTTTATAAGGTACTAGTTTCTAGAGATTTAATATCTTAAGAAAAATCTCCATATTTGATGCAAAATGTATTGCTGCTAATGCTTTATACGGAAATAATGTGTATATAGCAGATATATAATTTGAAGCTTTATTTCTTTATTCTTTCTCATTTTCCTCCTGTTTACATTTCCATAGAGATTATTCTGCTAAGGTCAATCAACTGCCATTGTTTTGGCTTTCATTATAGAGAAATAAAGGCACAAGCATTTGAGGCATGTAGTTCTTTTATTTGAAACAAGAATTACATTTGGAATTTAAAACATTCGAAATAGTTTTAAAATGAACACTCATTCAGTGTGCTGAGTACAGCTTGTTTTAAGGTAGAGTAGGCTGGAAAATTAGAATTTTTCAAGTGGAAAATGATTGTTCAGGTGTTTTTTCTAGTTTCAGGGATAAATGCATAACTCTGCCTCCAACTTAGTAGGTCATTTTGTCCTTAACTGAAAATCCGATTTCCTAATAAGAGTGCTAAGAGTAAAATCATGTTACTGAAATTTATCTATAAAACTAATATGAGCAAAAAAATTTAAGGAATTAATTACATTTGTCAGTTATGGAAATGAATTATAGTAAGTTCACTGCATTCAAATGAAAATTGAATAAAATATCAGTTTTCCTGTGATAATTGTTTTCCCCAGTCTAATTGAATGAAGAATAAAGAGACCAAACAAAACGATTCAAAAGACAATTGCTTGTGAAGCATGTCCATGACATAGTTTATTTTGTAATGTACATGTGGCAGATTTATTCAGTACAAACTACAAGCACAGATCCACTCACAGCACAGGCAGAGCACCTGTGCATGAGGGATCCCAATACAGTTCAGAAGAGATCTGTTTCCCCCCTTTCCCACCAATGGGTGCATCTAATTACATGCACATGTGGCAACACTCCTCTTGTAGTGCGCCTTGCAAGTTATTGAGGCTTCATGAGTACTGCACTGGGCAGAGAGATAGGACGGGATGAGGATTCTCCATGCATTTGTTGTAGATCCATAGTGAATACAGTTGACTCAGGAGTTATGTTCCAGGGATAGTGTATAAAGCCAAAATCTTGTATAGTCAAAATTCACGTGCCTTACATCTCCAAACTCTCTCCCAAGGCAAGTGCAATGGCAAGTGGGATTGCCATTGTTTTTTCTGCTGGGAGCTTGCACTCTTAAAAAAAAATTCCTGGCCAAGCACATAAAGCTGAATTCACACAGGTTAATGTGCATAAATTGTGATTTGACTAGTGACCAAAGGTTGTTTTAGCAAATCTGCAGCATATGAACTGAAATAAAACCTTTGGTTCTATTAAACCTTTTAAAAGATTTTAATTTACTTGTTCATAGCCAATGAACATTTCAGTGCTCTTAATACACCTAGAAAGGCTTGCTACCCAGACTCAGTTGGGGCAGAATTGACAAAATGATTTTAAGTGTGGGGGAAGCAGAAATCCATATTTGAAGTGCAGTTTCTGGGCAATGATGAGCAAGGCATTTGCAGTGTCACAATAGAAGAAATGAAGTTCTCTGTCTGGAGCCTCTTGATACAGATGGGTGGGTTTCTGCTTGGGCTACTTGCTGATTCACACAACAGCTATAATTTTGTGCAGAATTGGGCATGCCTAAATCTGTTATTTCAGTGGGCTTGGTGAACCTATACAGTGGTACCTCGGGTTACATACACTTCAGGTTACAGATTCCGCTAACCCAAAAATATTACCTCGCGTTAAGAACTTTGCTTCAGGATGAGAACAGAAATCGTGCTCCGGTGGCGCGGCAGCAGCAGGAGGCCCCGTTAGCTAAAGTGGTGCTTCAGGTTAAGAACAGTTTCAGGTTAAGTACGGATCTCCAGAACGAATTAAGTACTTAACCCGAGGTACCACTGTATCTGCTTAGAATTAGACTCATAATACTCATTCCCCAGCTGCCCTTATGTCCCTCAGTAATTTGACACATTGCAACATACTTATAATTTTTTTGGAAGCAAATTCCCAATGAAAAAAATAATAATGCTTTATCGTGTACATATAGTGAGTGATATATTTTCATTTCCTTGGTACTAAAAATTGAAGGTAGCACAGTTGTTTTTCTCCTTTGGGGCTGTACAGGCCCCTGCAGTTAGCAGTTCATCAAGTGGCAGGACATAGGTTGATGCTCACAGCACCACTGACCAAAGCTGCCTTACTGAAACTTACTGGTCTTTCATCAATCATAAAGTTACGGATGCATCCAGTAAAGGAACTGTGGGTGGTAAGGCTGAATGTCAGGAGAGACTCTGTAGAGAGGTAAAAATATATATAAGTCATTCAAGAACTCAAGTATCAATATAAGATCATGCTAGGACTGGTTTAACTAAAAGAGACAGCTGTGTAAAACTTGGAATGTGGTTTGTTTGAATGGTATTGCCCTTGTTACTGTTACTTACTTTGATATGTACGGTATATATGTATGTGTGTGTGTGTGTGTGTATATATATACAAGAAGCCGAAAACACCAGCCTGAAGATGACGAGTGAGACCTCGTCGAAACGTCGCCTAGACACCCCAACTTTTACACGGGAAGACACCCGAGGACACCAAAACCTGCATTCCTGTACCCGTGAAAATCTACGAAAGCATATATATATATATATATATATATATATATATATATATATATATATATGTTTGTATTTGTGTGTGTATTTATATATATATGTGTGTTTGTGTGTGTGTGTATAATTTATAAATAGTTGTCAAATAAAGGTTTTCAATAAACTAAATTATTTTAGTCTTATATTTGTATTCTGTTATATTGTCAATCACTTGTATTGAAATTATTCCTTCTAAAATATAGCACAAAGATGTATAGAGAGCTACTTCATCCCACCTCCAACAACAAATATTTATTACAGTCGTAGACCAGCATAAGGAGGGAGGGGTACAATAATTTAAAATCTAAAACCCCCTCCCCCAAATTATAGGTCTTTGCTAATGAACAGCACAAGGTATGTGACCATTACTTTAAAGAATCCTTTTTTTAAGACACACACACACACACACACACACACACGGTTAATCTTTGAAAATAATATTAAAATGAGAATAATCGTACCTGGCACTCCTCCAACAAACACAGGCTCCCTGTGGTCAGTTGCTCTTGGATTTAATGGTCCTACTACATGATTCACTTCTGAATCTACATCCAACTGTACCACATTAGCATCTCTAATAACTGTCATATGAAGCAAAAAAGAATAATATTCTGTTATATTGTCAATCACTCTTCTTTCTGATTTTTCTTGCATACAAGCATGTAAGCATACAGTACTCATAAACATATGAAAATCCCGAAGAACTAGACTATTTTCCCATGGCCTGGATATGCTCTCATATCTGAATAGCTCAGTAGGTCCCAACATGGATCTTATAACTCCAAAGCATAGCTGTCAACTTTCAGATTTGAAAATAAGGGATCAGCAGCCTCACCTGTCCCGGGGACAGTCTATGGGATATCTAAAAATCCGGGATAGCAACGGGGAAACGGCGCTGAGATAAGGGAATTTCCAACAAAAAAAGGGAAGGTTGACAGCTATGCTCTAAAGCCATGGGCAGGATTTACCCAACAAATCCCGTAAGTGGACGCTGTGCAAGGGCTTCAAATTGCACCATGGGGCTTTCCCCCTTCTGCCTCTGAAATTAGCTGGGAGGGGACTTGCGAGAACCTCAAGAACAGCACATTTGAGGAGGAAAGGGGGGCGTGCGTTGCTGTCTGACAAGCTGAAATGCTGAAAATGGAAATGACATTTAACCTCCCTCCCATGCTTAGGACAAATTACATACATCCTAATATAACATGGCATTCTTCCCCACATCCTGTTATGCAAGTAGCCCAGAAGCAGGGAAATAGATAATGTGACAGATATTGCAAAAGATGATAGGAGATTAATTGGATGTTTTCCATTTTCAGTAGCAGCCAAACTCTTAACCACAGAATTTTGGATACATTGTCACCCTTTTTCAGACCAAGCACTACCTGATTTCCACACATGCATAGCCTTATAATTCTAAGTCGTTTACATACATGACATGATTCACAGCCCTAGCCAGTATTGATAATGTTCAGGGATGCTGGGAGTTGTGCCCCAACAACATCTGAAGGGAGCACCCCATCAACCATCCCTGATTTAGAGTACTGATGAGAGGGAAGATCAGAAATCAACACTGAACAGGACTTTAGATCTTCACTCACCTGCAATTCTGTGCCATCGGCCATCACAGAGATTCTGTTTTGGTGTAACTGAGGTTGAGAAGTCTTTGATGCCATTGTTCAGCTTCACAATGACCTGGGAGAACCATTTGATTCACATTTAAAACCTTAGTTTTGACTGGAAAGATTTAATTAAAATGCATAAAGCGGTGTAAAGGCTTTTTAACATACTGTTCTCCAAATGAGTCAGCATGAATTTATACCATAGGCATAAGGTCTATATTTCTTCACACAGTGAAATCCCATACATGTATACTCAGCTGTAAATTTGAGTTTCACAGGGCTTATTTCAGGTATGTCTACAGGATTGCTTGCAAAAATCCTGGATGGTTGATCACCACCTCCAAAGTCTACACGAGGTGAGCCTGAGAAATAGTGGCTTGCCAATGGGGACCTAGTGAGCTTTTTTTTACCATGGCATAATTTGAACCAGGACATCACTTTCAGGATTTACACCATACCAGCACTACCATAGATGAAATATTTCCAGCATTTAAAACACAAAAGGAGGCTACAGTTTGTTAAATAAATAACATAAAGTAATTGGATCTCAGAACCACTTAGCACTGCTACATTACACTGTATAATTCATTGGAAAAAATGTGGTCTTTCCTAAGCTTGTGCCCAACATAAAATATAGTGACTAACAAAACATAAATTTTAAATTATAGCAAAACCTCTTAGCTTCTACCAATATCAGTTGCTGTGATAAAAACGATTCCATTTCTATGGTGGCAGTTACAGAGCTTTGAGGATGGACTGCTCAGAAGGACTTCATTCGCTGAAGCTAAGCGATGCTGGTACTATCCTCTAGGCTGAGGCTT